GAAACGGCTTAAGAAAAACCAACGTAGATACAGAAGTATGTCAAATGAGGGTTTTAGTATATTTTTAGAGATACTAAATTACATTTGCAAAAAATTGTTCGTGTTTGTACATCAAACAATCGCACTGGTTTACAAGAGCTAAATTAAATTGCCACAAAGCGATGGACTGAAATAAATGTACACTTCACGAGCTCAGTAAACACCGCCAGTCTCTAAATTTGCGGTTAAACTGTGGCTTAATGAAGCGATTTAGTCACAATTAGGCTTCGCAACATACTAACTTTACGCAAACATAGAAAATGTAAGGAACACACTACCTAAACTCCTAGATTCTATTGCTGTGGTTGGAACAAACGTCAAACAACCTTCTTATCAAATAATTTCACAAACAAGTGTTTGACAAAATACAATCGATTGAAGCTATGACAACTAGTATAACTACAGTGTAAAATAATAATTACTAGCTATTGCGCGCGACTCTCTTCGCGTGGAATAAAAAAAATTAAAGTAAGTAGCCTATGTGTTCTTCTAGACTATCCTCTACATCTATGCCAAATTTCATCGATATCCATTCAGCAGTTTAGGTTACAAACTCTGACAAACATCCATCCATCTAAACTTTCGCATTTATAATATTATAATAAGATTATTCAAAGTTAAAAAAATACAGACAATTGATATATAACAAAGATCTAATTTAACATTTTTGTGACTTATGGTCGGTTTCCCAGTCAAATTTAATCATACCGTAGTGTTTTTCGATAGCTGAATAAAATGCATTCCCAAATTACGTAACTTGAGTTTTATTCCGTTGATACTAAGGTCAACTTAACACTCATGGATAGGTAACGATGAATATCGAAACTCCAGAAACCCAGTATTAAAGCGATATTGAAAACTGTCATTTACATCAGGTGTAAGGATTTAAAAATAAATTTATAGGTGGTCAGAATACAGTCATTACATTGTTGGAAGATAGCCAGAAAATTCTCGCTTCAAGAGCCACATATTCCATTATTGAGAATATTTTTCACGATCTACGTGTAAGGGTCAAGACAGGGAATAGATTCTCGATTGAACTCTTAGAATAAGAGCCAAAAAATTAAGAGCTCAATTAGAGTACATAGATACTTCATCAACCTGCCCTTGTCCCTGTGGATAGTCGTTAGTTTTTTTTTTTATAACATAAGGTGGCAAACGAGCATGCAGCCACCTGAATCCGCCAAAATGGCGAAGCGACCGCTGCCCATAGACATCCGCAATTGCAGATGCGTTGCCTACCCTTATCCGACAGAGGAGGAGACGCACATCAAGAGGATATCTCCCCTTCCTATGTATCTCCTCCTCCGTCAAATCCACTTCCTCTTCCTATCCTCTCCTTATAAGAAAAGGATGGTAAAGAGAAAGGGACTTAAATTAGGCCTCCGGCACCACACTCATCAGACGAAACACGGAATTCCTTCCATTTGACGCCTGTCTTCTGTGTAGTCGTGGTATTACACCGGGCGTGCCGGCCTATTCGTGCTAAGATGTTAAAGCGGGCACTACCACTGTTAGTATGTACGGCTCTTCCATACATTTCTATCAACCGTCATATCTGAAATCTTCCAATGAATATTCACATTAAACTTTTAGAGCGGGCGCACACCGTTGACTAAACTATTGCATAAATGTTGTGCGATTGTCGATTGTTTCGCTGCCAATTCAACTGTTTAGTTGCACAACTAAAAATCGATTAGTGTGCGCACCTCTATATAAGCTATAAGCGACTAAACAGTTGTGCGATAGTTTAGTTTCAGGTGTGCGCTTACTCTTAGTTTAACTGTTTAGTTAAAACTGAAGGTGTCAAATGAACTTTTAATAGAAATCTAAAATTTCTGTTTCGATTAAAACAAGTTTAGTCACGTACAAAATGTTTGAACAGTTTATAAATTGTATTGTGTCGTTGACAAACAGTTTGCATTGCTCTCATTCGAAACCCCGCACAAACAAACGCAATGAGTTCATTTCGTTACGTATGTTAGCGTTTTAAATTAAAGTTAAACTTGTGTTAGATGTATCCTTTTGTTGCACGGAAAACAGAAAGGCAAAAAAACATTACAACCATAACATTGGCAAGATATGACTTAGTTTCATAAATAAAAGCAGCAATTCAAATACGCTATTCATACTAAAAACTTATACTACACTAGCTTTCGCCCGCGACTCCGTCCGCGTGGAATTAAAAAAACAAAAGTGAGTAGCCTATGTGTTCTTCCAGGCTATCCTCTACGACTATGCTAAATTTCATCGAAATCCGTTTAGACGTTTAGGCTATAAACTCTAACAAACATCCATCCATCTATCCATCCATCCATCTAAACTTTCGCATTTATAATATAAGTATGAAGTATGATTACATACATACATACTAGCGTTTCCTGCGACTTCACCCGCGAGGAATAAAAAATAAACAAAACAGGTAGCTTATGTTTTCTTCCAGATTACCTACATCTATGGCAAATTTTATTAAGACCCGTCCAGCAGTTTAGGTTAAAAACTCTAACAAACACCCATCTAAACTTTCGTATTAATTATATTAGCATGATTAGATATAAAAATATCATTTTTTTGATACATCCATCAAAAAGGTTTTTTTCCCAATTTACTATCTTCCTTCGTAAAATAGATTGCAACACACGACGAACGAACACGTCGACGATGCACTGGATATAAATCTCCGATAGACCGGGTCCGCATTTTAAAATATCAGTAGGGTTTTTTGATTTATCTTTTTAATTTAATTTATTTGGACTGACTTTCTAGAGGTAGAATACAGTTGCTTATTCATGTTCTCTAACAGAACAAAAAAGAACATTGTCATAAATTAAACGGGAATTAACGTTCGTTCGTTCTTGATATAGGTCTTCCTCTTGTCCCCTTCTAATATCTTCTTTAGTCGTATACATCCAGCCACTTTCAATTGTTTTCAATTCCAAAATTCGACAGCAATTGTCACACAAGATATGCAGTCGTGTTTAGAAATCGGTTTCAAACAAATGAATACTGCAAATTACTGTTGTCCATCATTCTCTCGCCGTGTGCCTATTGCTGTGTCCGTTGAAATCACGCTTTTAATTTTTACCTCATTATAATCAGGTTACTGTCCCGTTAACTGAGGTCTTTTCTAATTATTTTTTTTAACCATAATTTGAAATGGATTAAACAAAATTTTAATTTTTATATCATGGTAATTTTCTATTCAAGCCAACACATCTGTTTACTACAGCCTGTCGTTGGCTCTAGTAAAAATGAACTAAGTTTAATTTTTACTTAGGGAAATCTTGTACCGGAAGCTTCGAGAACAGCTGCAGTTTAATTAAAACTTTTTTTTAAATACTGCAGACGAACCATTATAAATTCATTAGAGAAAATGATATCAACTACTTTAAGATTCAAATTAATTTAGAAATAGTGACATCATTACTATCTTTGTTATCAAATAATCAATTAAAGTATAATAAAAGTGTAGTGTGACGTTAAATTTTAATCTTACTTAGTAATTACTCTTACGTTTAAGAAGTAGCAGTTCCAAGATCGAGGGTAGTTGTAAAATAATTTATAATACACGTAATAGGACATTCATCTTCCTTGCTACCCACGTTTCCTGACTTTTATTATGATTAAGTGTTTCGTACTGAATGAAAAGTTACTGCAATATTGCAACCACATGCATGTACACTGACTTCATATTGTAAACCAATTTTCTTTTGTTTCTTGGTACAGGTACCTCGGTGAATCAATTTTATGGATTCAATTGCCATAATAGGAAAGAAATTCCCATTGAGCTGTTCCATCAGTAGGCCGATCTTGCACATGGGAAACACCTTTTGGTGGCAATCTGATTTTTTCCTGCCGCAGAACTAATGTTTAGCTAAACTGTTTAGTGTTGCTTTTGATTTTAAGGGCATTCTTACAATGATTATGTGTGCAAAAAATCTTGCAACTTTTCTGCCTTGTCCGTCCACAGTCTTCTAACTTTGTAAATAACAATGAAACTTGATTAAGTTTTAAAAATGTAATCGAGTTTAAAAGTGGGATAAGCAACTTTTATAAATATTTTAACGTTGTTGCAAAATGACAATAACGACTGCCACTTTAAATTCAGTCGCGCGGCCAACTTTCTAATGACTTACTGGACCTGAATAATAAATATGCCTTCATAACCAAAACCTTCTCAATTTAACGCGTCAGCAAAGTTAATTTGTACTTAACAAGTATGACACTAGGCAATCTTACCTTCTACAGGAATATTACTACTATCTCAATTCACACCTCTCTTTCAATAAAAGCAATTGATTTAATTTTTAATGATGAATTAATGTATTTTTTAGTTCACTAGTTGATTCAATCATTCGAATATTTTTAGTTTTTTGGTTAAAAATAACTTCACGTACTGTTCCAGAATTACTTTAACTGTGACTTTCATCTTCATTCGTTCGCGTTGTTTTCTTTACAAATTGCAAACATTTTGCTCTTCGGGTTTAAATCTGATGATAATGTGAAATTGAAAATTAAAGGTAGAACAGACTATATATTCGTAAGCTCATTGTCAAAAGATTTATAAACGAACATTTTTTCCAGTGATAATGGCTGTGAATTCTCGTGTAAAATTTTAAAGAACTAAAGATGTCTACTTCTATCGGAACATTATCTTCAATTGTATCTATTTATATTCTCACAAAATCAAATATTTTCTTTCAATGAAAACATGTGTGTTGTCTCACGGTTATAATAAAGAAAATGTTTGATTTCTGCTGAGTTATTTTGTTCACAATAGTGTACAAACGTGTTTTCATACCAGACCAAACTATTCCGTGATAATTTAACAGTGAATCTAGCGATTGGATTACAAGGATTATGTTTATCTCAATTATTATAGATAACTTCTATAATAACACAGATCGACTGCTGTAAAGAAATATTAGGTTATCTTATCTCATCCATTGCATTATATCGAGTCCAATATCAAATGTGTGGAACAGTATACGCGGTGCAAATGTGTTAGTAAAAATGTATAAAATATTTATAGTTTTTTGTATTTTTTGTGAAGTGTACGCTCAAAATGAGTATCCTTTAAATATTTTACACTACAATGACTTTCATGCCAGGTAAGTACTTTTAACATAATTAAAAAAAGTCATTTTTTCAACAATTGCAATAGAATCTCATAGCGAGATTGTAACGTCGAAAATCGTCTAAAAAACTGTAATTTTTAATACAGTGCACTCAAGGACAGTGATCATAATCAAATGTCAGATGGGCAGGATGTGATGGTGTTGAGATATGAAGGCTGAGAGTGGAGTTGAGAGTTCGAATAAATAGTTCGAAAAAATAGAATAAATGCTATTGATGATGGCAGAATTTAAGAGCGGCATTATTAATACGATAATTGTATCTGGTATCGATAGGTTTGTAGAAACGAGTCCGTCCGGCGGAGTTTGTAATCCAGAAACTGCACCATGCATCGGAGGCTTTGCCCGCTTAGCAACTGTTGTAAGACAGGCAATTCTAAAGGAACCAAACTCCTTACTTCTGAACGGCGGTGACAGCTTTCAGGGAACGATTTGGTATAACTTGCTAAGATGGAATGTTACCCAGGACTTTATGAATATGTTAACGCACGACGCTCATGTAAGTAATGCGATTATTACTATCGCTGATAAAATCTGTACAATATTAATTCAATTATTTTTTGATTGTGAGATCGATATCTTTGACCCTATCGCTCCGTGTGCTCCTTACACTCTAGGTTATTGAACAATATCGATTAGTGTTATTGTATTTAGTAGAACTTAAAATATTAATAAAACTAATGGAAAAAAGAATAAATGTATAAGACGTATCTAGACGTTGATTTAATACAAAAATAAAACAAAAACAATATAGATTACGTTGAATTTAAAGATTATCTTAATATTTGAAAATATCTTTCAGGGAAATTCAAAAATTTAAAGGGTTTATTTGTTACTATTTTTCTTTTTTACAATTCTTTTGCTTTAACATCGTAGGTTCTAGGAAATCATGAATTTGACAATGGTATTGACGGTGTCGTGCCTTACTTAGAGCATTTAGATTCAAACGTAGTAACAGCAAATATAATTGATGAGTTAGAACCCTCTATACAAGGCTTGTACTATCCCAGTATTGTTGTAGAACGGGATGGACGAAGGATTGGAATAATTGGTGTTATTATTTCTACAACCAACGTAAGTAAATAAATGTTACTTTATAAATAGGTTGGATTGTGGTTAAACTTTTTAACTATTTTAAAGGAACTGGCTTCTACCGGACGATTGCAATTCACAGACGAAGTGGAATCCGTAAAAGCAGAAGCACAAAAATTACATGATGATGGAGTCAATATTATAATAGTTTTATCGCACTGTGGACTTGATATTGATAGGTATGAAGGTTAAAAAATGATATGTAAACTTAATCATCTTTTTCTATAATAATTTATTAAAATTAACAGGGAAATAGCACTACATGGCGGGCCACATATAGATATAGTAGTTGGTGGTCACAGTCACACACTGCTGTACAATGGCATCCCGCCAGAAAGTTCTGGATTTAATGCTCAAGAACCGTATCCTGTGGTAGTTGATCAACCGACAAGGAAGGTAGTTTTTTTTATCTTAAACTATATGCTATATAATAGGGTATTAAGATATTTTTAAAACTAAATAATTTTTAGGTCTTAATTGTACAAGCGGCTGCGCACACGCAATATTTAGGAGAAATTAAATTATTTTTCGATGACGATGGAAATCTTTTAAGATGGGAAGGTAATCCACATTTTATTGGAAATGAAATTGAACAAGGTGAATATTCTTAATTTATTTTATTAAAAAAGCAGTATTTATTTTTCGAAATATTCAATGTAAAAATTTTCTTCTAGCTCCCGATGTGTTGGCAAAAATAAATACGTATCTTCCCGATATAACACAAAGAGCAACAAAACAAGTAGGAACCTCTATGGTTCATATGTCTTCTAGATGTGCCTGCGCTGAATGTAATTTGGGAAATTTCATTTGTGACGCATTTATGGATGCGGTAAGTGATTTTATATGTTAGTAAACTAATAGATTTCTTTTGTTAATTTGAATTGATTGTGTGAAATAATTTGTAGGTTCTAGACAAAGCTGAAGGAAATAATTGGCATTACGCAGATTTTTGTATAATTAACCAAGGAGGCATACGCGTGGATTTGGAACCTGGATGTGAGTATCTAAACGACTTTGTAAATGTACCACAAAATATTATAGTCCTACGTATTTTGAAGAGTATTTCAAATTATCTTTTTTCCAGTGATTACCTTTGAGACAGTGCTATTATCGACACCCTTCGAGAACAACGTAGAGGTGTTTGAACTAAGAGGCGACCATATAATGGAAATGTTAGAATTTTCTGTAGCAAACGTACCTTATCCTGGTGCTAGAATGTTACAAGTATCAGGTGAGTATAGTTCTACGGAAAAGTAGGTGTCAAAATAAAAAGCAACCTAACGTCCTGTAGTCAATGTTACATGATATTCCTTCTTGTCTATTTGAAGATCCAATTTGGCAAGAGCTGACTGTGCAATAACAGTCCTAATTCAGAACAAATAATTGTTCTCAGCAGTCCTTTTTTTAATACTTACTATTCTATGTCAGGTATTCAAACTTCATTCAATGGTTCTCTACCTATTAACGAGAGGGTTTTAGATGTAAATGTTCGTTGCATAGATTGTGACGTACCTCGGTACAAACCATTAGAACTTAACAGATACTATAAAGTTGTATCACAAAGTTTTCTTGGCACTGGAGGTGATGGATTCTCAGTGAGTTTTAAATTTACTTAATGAAACATATGGGAGCTACATGTATTACATTTTACAATTCAACCTCCGCACCTAAAAGCGCTCTAGATGTAGAATAGGAGGAAGAAGTGGTTGCGTCATTTCTTCTTCTCTTCTTAGATGTTCTTTCAATCCTTTCCAGGTATTAAAACTGCTTTCAATGGTTCAAGACCAGTCGGTTCTCGTGTTGTTAACGTAACTGTGAGATGCATAGACTGCCCTGTGCCTCAATACATGCCTTTAGTAAAGGATAAATATTATAAAATTGTCTCCCAAAATTTTATTGGCAATGGAGGTGGGGGCTTCAACGTGAGTTATATTAAATTCTATTTCAAATATGTTTTTGTTATTGTTAGTGACACTACATTCTTCATTAAAAACTTGTTTGGTTTTCGTGTTGTTCCTTGATTTCAAGACTTTGTATTTAAATCTCATGGAGTCCTGGCTTTTGTATTGGTAGTTTTATACACTTCATCGCTTTGTCTTTATATGTACTTTGTCCTTAATAGAACGTGGCTATTGTACATTAACTTTTTGTCGGAATTATTATTACATTGTAATTACATGTAGCTCCCAATAATATTTAAATGCTTGCTGTTGATTTTAACGAAAATTTATAGTTGTAATTTATAGATTATGTTCATTTTATAGATGATTTCGGAAAATAGAAGAAACGTGGAAATTGTTGGTGTTGATTACGATGTTCTGATACGGTATATTGAGAAAGTCAGCCCAGTGTTCATAGATGTGGATAGAAGGATACAAATCGAACAGCCATGTGTAGTTTAAGAATAGACAAATAAAATTGTAAATAAAATTAACTGGCATTTTTATTTATCTTTACATTGTGATTTAAATTCTGACGGAAAGGTAGGTTTAATAAAAATAATTTAATCTATAACGGTGAAAGTTTTATTTTATCCTTTAATTGTGAATAAAATATTAAGAATAAAATGAAGTACTTAAAATGAACCGTGACTTGTATTCACAAATTCCTATTTTCATTATGAAGAAAAAAAATAAACTCAAGACTTAACAAATTAAAAAATTGTACAAATTAAATAAAAAGAAGATTTCCTAAATTGAATTTTAATAAGTATCTTTGTGGAACAAACACTTTTACCAATGAATCGTAATCTCTCGTTACCAACATAATTTTTCATTTTGCAAGGGTCGAGAATAATTTTGTTATAGAGTTTTCAGCCTAAACCACTGAACGGATCTTGATGAAATTTGGCATAGATTTAGAGCATAGCTTGAATGAACATATAGAATAATCACTTTTGTTTTTTTTTAATTCCACGCGAAAGGAGTTAAAATACAAACAAGTTTACAATTACTTTCTATTTTCCACTTGTTTCTTATAATTTAAAAAGAGCAATTCCTTTGATTTATACTCTCGATAACTTTAACAAATGATTTATTCGGAGCGTACACAACTTCTGAAGGACATTGCTGTTTTACGACAAATGTTGACAACAAGGAAAGTGGTCCCTTACACTTCGACCATTAGGAAAATTACTCCCTATTGTTTTGTTATATTTTGTTCGTAAATGATCCTCATTTTCGTTTCATTTATTGTTCTTTTTTATTCTTATTTAATGGTTTTGATATAGCTTCATTCCTTTCTGGAAACTGATATAATACTTATATAATAAATGTTTGCTATTGCGTGCGAAAAGCCAGCGTGGTTGACTATGGCTTAGTCACCACTTACTTAAGGTATGCTCTGAGTATAGTGAGCTGGCAATGATGATGATGGTAATGATGATGATGATGATGATGATGATGATGATGATGATGATGATGATGATGATGATGATGATGATGATGATGATGATGTCTCAAACCTTATGGTGGCACATGCGACAAATATTCAAACATTACAAGTAACTATACTACTTTTACGTTTAAGGATTCTATTCTATAGATAATTGCCAATATACTCCGTAACCTGCTGAAATATATTTTGTTTAGTTCGTCAAGATTGTCGTGAAATTTGATTAATTTCCACGATGTAACAAACGCTGAGGTTAGTTCGCAATTTTGGGCGCTGTTGCGGTCCTTTAAATTGGCTTCCTGCCAGGACGTAGTTTGAAATTTTAGTAGATTGCTTGTATATTGCTAATACGTGAGAAAGTTTTAGTGACATCCTATTTAAAATGACATTTAATTTAATATTTTATATGAATGTTAGGGTATTATTATTAAAATACATCTTAAATCATCTCACTTGATATTTTTCCTGAATTTCGAAATTAACACACCTTAACTAAACTATCGCATCACTGTTTAGTCTCTTTTCTTTCTATGAGCTTTTATGGAGCGCTCGTTAATTTTAGTTGTGCAACTAAACAGTTGAATGGGCTATGGAACAATCGCACAAGTGTTGTGCGACAATTTAGTCAAATGTGTGCGCCCGCTTTACAAACATATATTTATCTGTCATATACTTAATCCTTGTAGATCATAATACAAACTTATGTGTTGTTATTTAAGAGCGTCATAGAATTTCTTTTCACGTAAGGAAAATCTTAATTTCCTTTAATAATGAACTGACTTTCAACTAAATTTCTTTGGAAGCAAGCCAAAGTGACTCGCAGTCTAGTCTTCAAGTATCAAATATCTGATATTCCAGGATAGTTCCAATCTTGTTAAAAATATCAGAAATCGCAGTAAAAGTTTTAAAGGCTTTCTCTTCAAATATTTGATAAGACATTAACGCTAACGGTGGTGGTATATTTGTATAGATTTCGGGGATATTTTACAACTGTTGCTCACGACTTCACCCGTGTGAAATTAACAAATTATAAAAAGTGTAGTCTATGTTACTCACTGGTAACGTATTTTATTAACGGTGAAAGAATTTGAAATCGGCTTATTAGTTTTTGAATTATTTCAGTACATACAAAAATACAAATCTTTTCTCTTTATATTAGTCTTCATTAAAACTAGTAGAGTTTCGCACATAATTTGTAATGTATTCAAACCGGGAAGTAATTCGTGTTACGAAATGAACACGGCCCGATTAAACAGTCGAGACACGAAAAAACTTTGGTAGCAGCACAATGTGTTGTACGTGATTGGAATAAATATATTTTATTCCGGAGATTCGGTACATTTATATAGATTTTTCACATTCAACGAGGAAACTTGAAACGGATAACTAAATTCTGTTAATTTAAATTAACAGGGATTATCTTTTAATGTAGTTTGTTTAATAATTTTAAATGTATTTATTACTAACTTTTCCCGTGCGACTTCATCCGCATGAAATTATGAAAATTTTATTTCATTGTTAACATTTGTCAAAATATCAATAGCGAATGTCAAAATGACATGACATGATAAACCTTAGCAATCTTTCTTTCTCGATGTTGGCAGCAACTTATGATCTCTTTCCCACATTAGGGTTTTTATCCAAAATTCCCCTTAAGTTTAATGGCGTGAAAATATATAGGCTAAAGCATGACGTAAGTAAAGGGCTTTTTATTAAAAAAAAGGAATTATTCAAAAATACGCTGTAAATGCTGATATCTTAGGCAACAAAGAAGTGTGTGTTTACGCTTTATTATAATAGTATAGATTAAAAATACGAATTGTTATTAAATTTCGCGCGGTTTATAACAAACCTAATTAGCCTGCGTGTTCTACTATTCTATGCTTTACATCTTGATATACCAAATTTCAGCAAGCCTCGATAAACGGTACAACTGGGTTGCGATTGTCAATTGTCGATTGTTTCGTAGCCCATTCAACTGTTTAGTTGCGCAAGTTATAATCGAGTAGTATGCGCACCTCATTATAGGCTTATTTATTTATTTATTTTCAATAGGAAGCCAACGTATCACATGAAATAAGTTCTGTATGATGAAGAAAAGTAATTATAACTAAAACACAATATCATGGATACACTTACAGGCTAACACAACATTATAATTAAAAAAAAAAGTTTTACATGACAAAGAATTAAAAACTAAAACTAAACTCACTACAAAAAAGAAAAATAACTTAATGTATACTCCTAAGGTGTGTGATCTTTACTGAAATAATAATATAATAATAATAATAATAAACCGCTTTCCCTGGCTACCACGAACTGGCGGAGGCTGGAGGTATTAAGTGTCTCAGACCGCATAGGTGTATGGAAGAGCAAGGAGCTACACGGTAGGTTCCATCGGGCCTTAACTGGTCCTGATGTGGACCAATTATCCTCCGTGGCTTGGCTACGCTTAAGTAACCTCTTTGGGGAGACTGAAGGTTTTGTCTTTGCAATCATGGACGAAGTCATCGTAACGAATAATTACCGGAAACATATCCTAAAGGATGGTACGACTGACATTTGTCGGGCATGTCGTCGGCCCGGTGAGTCTATTAGACATATCGTTTCCGGTTGTTCTCGCCTTGCGGACGGTGCATACTTGCATAGACATAACCAAGTGGCCAAGATTATCCATCAGCAACTTGCCCTTAAATATGCTCTTGTGGAGTCTGAGGTACCATATTACCAATATCAGCCTACACCAGTTCTGGAAAATAGCCGTATCACGATCTACTGGGACCGATCTATTATTACGGACAGGACTATTGCTGCCAATAGACCTGATATAGTAATAATAGATCGGTCTGAGAGTTGTGTAATGTTAGTCGATGTCACTATCCCACATGACGAGAATCTCGTGAAAGCCGAAAATGAAAAACTATTAAAATATTTGGATCTGGCTCACGAGATTACCGCCATGTGGCGTATGAAATCGAGTACCATTATTCCGATAGTCGTTTCGACACACGGGCTGATAGCGAAGAGCTTCGACCAACACCTCAAGAAGCTCTCGCTAGACAGTTGGATTAAGGGCCCGATTCAAAAGGCGGTTATTTTAGAAACCGCACGACTAGTGAGGAGGTTCCTGTCTCTGCAGCCCTGACCACTGGTTGCTTGAGTCATCGGATTCCGCAGCCGGTGGATTTCTATTTTTTTATATAATATGTTTTATTTTGTTATTTTTTTTAAGAAAATCATGTGAAATGTATTATATATAAAAATAAGATAATAAAGATATGTGGTATAATAATAGTAATCAAAGCGAGACTAAACAGTTCTGCGATAGTTCAGTCAAAAGTATGCGCGTGCTCTAACTATGCGTTAATCCGAATGAAATTTGCGACAGCAACAAAAGGGAACATGCAGTGTAATTTGATGCATCTCCAATCTACATTGCGCTGTACTCTCTGACTAGGATAGGGCGGGGTTGTAACAACTATTCAATGAATATTGAAACAGTTACTAATCCGAACTGGTTGCATGGCCGAAATAAAAATCTCAAATCAGACGTGTTTAAGTTTAAAATGTAATCTTTTTTTATAAATTCATCTTTGAGAATGTTATAATAGTAAATGAATTTTAATTGCGATTTTGGATTATACGTTAAACAATTGACATACGAATATAACAAAAGAGTAAAGATAAATCGCTGTTCGTTCGTATTTTAAATTTATTTTTTCCTTTACAAAGTTGTGCGATTGAAAACGTTAAAAGATGAAATTAATTTTGCCTTAACTTTGATTTCATTGTGCATCTAATGGACTTAGAAACCTGCAAAATGTTTAGATGGATGGATGAATGAATGTATGGATGTTTGTTAGAGTTTTTAACCTAAACGGCTGAACAGATTTCGATGAAATTTAGCATAGACGTAGAGGATAGTCTGTAAGAACACATAGGCTCCTTAGTTTTATTTTTTAAATTCCACGTGGACGAAGTCGCCGGCGAAAGCTAGTCTATTATAATTTTTCACTCGTTACACACATTGTTA